GCAGACTGAGCGAGAAGCTTTAGCATTAGTATGGGCTTGTGAAAAGTTTCACTATTATCTTTACGGGAAGTTTTTCCATCTGGTTACGGACCATAAGCCGTTAGTCGTGATTTTTGGAGATCGTCTGAAGTCGTCACCAAGGATTGAACGATGGAAGTTGCGCCTGATGTCCTACGATTTCAAAGTAATGTACCGTCCAGGAAAGAATAACATCGCTGACCCGCTGTCACGACTCTGCCAATCTGTACCAGACAATGGAACTAGCTTTGATGAAGAATCAGAAAGAATCGTACGAATGATAGCTAGTGATGCTTGCCCGTTGGCAATAACCCTTCAGGAAATTGTAACTGCCACAAACTTAGATGAAGAACTGCAAGAACTGATTAAATGGTTACCGTACCCTTCTCGACGTTGGCCTAGAACATTAATGCGTTATGCAAAGATGTCGGGATGCTTCACCAGTGATGGACATTTATTGATGAAAGATCAAAGAATTGTAATTCCTCGAATCCTACAAACCCAAATTTTGAAGCTTGCACACGAACCTCACCTTGGAATTGCAGCAATGAAACGTCGACTACGATCTAAAGTATGGTGGACTAGGATGGACTCTATGATAGAGAAATTCGTCCAATCTTGCACAGGATGTACGCTTGTATCAGAACCTGATACACTTCCTATAACAAGAACCGAGATGCCTAACGGACCGTGGAAGAAAATAGCGGTGGATTTCATGGAAATTCCTGGCGGTTACCATTTGCTTGTAGCGACAGACTACTACCGGGTTGAAGTTGCTATACTTACTTCAATGACAGCAAAAGTAACAGTCACTAAAATGAGGGAAATTTTGCAAGATTCGGCTATCCTATTGAAGTTGTTTGCCATAATGGTCAGCCATTTTCTTCAGCAGAATTCTTGAATTTTTGTCAGACAAATGCAATCTCAATCAAGCATACAGTTCCTTATGCAGCTTTTCAAAATGGATTGGTCGAGAGGCAAAACAGAACTTTATTGAAGACCTTGAAAATAAGCTGTACTATGGGACGTAATTGGCGGTATGATCTACAAGATTTTCTTCACTCTTACCGAGCAACACCTCACAGCATAACAAAGTTTTCACCGTCGGAATTGATGTTTGGGTGGAACATTCGGGATAAAATACCAGGAAACTCAAGACCAGTCAATGAAACTGAAGCAAGAGAAAACGATAGGAAGGCGAAAGAAAAAGGAAGAATGTATGCGGATTCAAAAAGGAGAGCTAAGCAATGCAATATCGATGTTGGAGATTATGTGATTGTGAAAAATTTTGTCAAGAAAAATAAGCTAACAACCACTTTCAACCCAGAACCAAGATTGCAAAGACTCATTTCAGCTAAAATAATGTTTTTCGGAATAATAAAACCAAAAGATGGTATGATGGCATGTTTTACTTGTAACTTACAAGAAGAGGTTACAAAGTATGCGTTGGAAACATAAAACCAGTAAATTTTGCTTTCTATGAGTCTCAATCAGCGATTTGCTGATCGCTGAGTGAGTGAGTGAGTGAGTGAGTGAGTGAGTGAGTTTGTGAAAAAATCGCTGATTGTGACTCTCATGAAGTGAAATAAACAGGTTTAATATGTCAAACACATTCTTTGCAACCTCTTCTTGTATCCTACCAATTCAAAATTTGATCATGGCATCTAATTATTTCATAATTTAGAAAAACATTGTTTTAGCTGAAATGAGTCTTTGCAACCTTGCCCCGAACCTCATCTTGTGATACAACGCGACGGATCACGGCTCCACTTGAAGAACATTAAAAGCAGTGTGATCTCCAATCGACACGTGAACCACACCAAACGAATCCTAAATGCGAATCCCATGATGAAACAGGAGAATGACGCAGATAATCATAAAACCTCTGAGGGCACACAAGAAGAAGATGACATGGGACCAGCCATTCCAACTGCTGCTGAACGTACTACGAATCCAACGGAACAACCCTCTACCAGCCAAACTACTACGGAACCTCAGATAGTCTCACGATGCGATGGTCGAAACGCCCTTTTGAGACTAGCCGAGCTACCAGCAAGCGCTCGAAACATGTACCTAAATACTTAGCAGATTACAAACTTTGAATATATTAAATTTTTAAAATATTAAACGTAAGGAGGGAATGTAGGATCTAAGCAACCATTGATTTTGTAACAACCTTAAAGCATGAGAATAAATATTATTATCAGTTGTACCTCGGACCGAACCAGACGTTTCTACAAACGGAACTATCGATTATATACTTTCATCTCCTCATACATCGTATACAAATTACCACTAATTATTTGAAATTAGCATTTTTAACTATGTAAATCGTTAACTTCCGGCAGGAGTACTTCAAACAAATAGCTAAAGTACAAACAGTTTAGGTAAATTTTTTGAGACATTTTAAATCATTTTCTGTGAAAAAATATCCAAAAAGCTTACTAACTAAATATTCAAAAAAATTACCAAAAGTTAGTGTTCTAAGATTTTTGTCAATTTTCAAGTGTCGGTGATTTTAAACATTCCATCTGGCTGCACCTTCTTATGTACGGAAACCCACTTTTTCTTCATGTCTTCCTCACATTTGACCTCCTTGGGATGCTTCCGTAGTGCCTGCTTCATAATAGCTCAGTATTTTTTTCGATGGGCCTTAGTTCCTTAGAGGAAGAAATACTACCGCGTATTGTTACGAATCAGGTTCTGCCCCCCTTTCGAGTGATTTTCACTTCCATTTGAATAATTAATCATCAACAACCACGCATCCTTCTGTCACCCTGCTACACCGCCTTCCTACTGAGAACCATACATGCTTCTAATAGTTCAATACCGTACATCCGAGGTACACCTGTTCGAAGAAATTGGTCATGCTGGCAAACTATGATGTGGAATGTATTGTTACTGCTAGTGCCATTGTTATCTCTCATCGATCAGTCTACCTTTCAGCATGAACCATGATTCACTTAGGACAACCAACAGCTAATGGATTCTTTCTCAGCTCTCTCAACCGTGCAGCGATTATTATCCTTTGACATTGTGTATGGTAGTTAGGTTACATTAGGATTCACCTTCGGAACCTTTTTTCAAGGGCGTTTCGATTCAATGGCATTTTCAGCGAAAGGGCATAGTTCAGGGCGCCGTGAGTCTGGCTTGTTCAAATTTGTGCGGCATAGTTGCATTAGGAGCTTAACGTAGTTTATGGCAGTGACAATCGTGTGCTGTGTGTCTGTGTCGCGGGAAAGGGACTGCTACTTTGTACCAACTGGAACTTTTCAATTAACCACAGTTCCTTAGAAAGCGGTTGCAGAGATTCTGTTTCGACTTTCTGTAAATCACGGTGCCTAAGCCTTCGACTATAAATTAGTAGTATTTTCAAAATTATAACTTTTAAACTTGTTCTTTCCACCCGACATAACTTGGGAAAAGTTATAGTGGGATTTCCCCCACATTGTGTTCGCTGTGCTGCACATGCCAATGAACCACTTTTTGTCACGCACTTGCTGTTGGAATTTATTGATCATAAATGGCGGTGTTGCTTGACAGTGCTGGTGCCGCCGTTGTTGGTTCTAAACCAAGACAAAATCGAACCGGTATCTTTTATAGCAAAAGCAGAGGGTGAAGCACCATGATGGCATGCAATATTGCCTACAAATGAAAAAAAAAAAACGACTAATGCGCCCCCTATGTTAAATCGCCCAAAACAGTATCAAGTAGGTAGGTTTTCGTAGCATTTCGGCGTCACCCGTCGTTCGTTGGGAGTACCACGAAGTGAGGGTTCGATTCCCGCTCCAGTCGGTGCAACTTTTCGCATCCCGGAAATTTCCCTACTGGTCTACTGGGTGTTGTGTGTATGTCCGTTGTCTAGTGTCAAGTGTTCAGTCTGTGCAACCTCTGGTTGAAGACGGTGTCAATTGTCTTTAATATGGACATTCATTTATGGGCAGACATAGCATTCTAGGAAACGCATGGTCGTTATCATGAGTTGTGAGAGGCATCCTCAGAATAGGTATCTCCACTGTGAACCATGAGAAGGTGTCTTTCAATAGAAAATGTACTTGACTGGATAACACAGCTCTCTATTCATGCGGCACACTTTGTCACCCCCTGGCACCTTCCCTGATGCCCAAAAATATTCAAGTAGGGTAGAGCGCTACTTTGTCGTAATCGCTCATTTCCGTTCTATCGAGCAGAAAACGACAATAATAGCAATGACTTCACCGTGCACAATTCAATAATACATTTGTTGCGATCCCTTAGCTCATAAGCTACAACACAAAGCACATTAAAGTGCATTGTATGAATATTTACACTCATTGTCCTCACAACAAAAGAAGCGCTCCTAGCGAATCCACTTTTTCTCTTTATCAAATCCAATAGATCGAAAAGGTGAACAAATTTAGAAGTCATCTTCGATATAAAAATTCCATGTTTTGTTCAAACCCGTTCAAAAAAGAGAGCTAAAGTGCGGGTTGTGCTGAATAGGACGAGAATGAGACCAACAACCCTACATATGTCGTCCGTCCTTCGTAATGGGAAGCACAAATAAGAACCGAAAAGGTAAACGGTTTCGATGAATTAACTATTCATGTGGAGAGGAGTGAGTGAGATCAGGTGTAATTTCTGCCGAACAAGGAGACAGCTTCAAGACAAGGCAATCGTGATTGACAACCGTAGCTAATGGACAGACTGAAGGCGACCCGACACGATGATGATTGCACGGTCTGTATGAAGGTAACCGTCGTCGAGAGAGTCGTAAGTGGTTGTCACGTTTCCCATGAACAGATGTTTTCTTTTCGGAAACCGAGTTTTCCCCTGAAACGGGCTTTTTCCACCAATTCAATGGAATTGAATATGTATTTGGTGTTTGAATAAACGCTTCCAAGGTTAAATAACGCTTTGAAGTCCCGGTTGCTAAGAGTGCTCATCAAAGTAAGGTTTGCTGAAAGCTTAAAAACACACACACTAACAAACGAAACACATACCCGTTGTCTGCCGCCGAGGCTGGTCTGTCGATTGAGTGAATCCACCGCTACTGACGCCGCCGCCGCCGCTGCTGCTGCTTGGCTTAGATCCACCGAAGAAAGCTCTTTCTGTGCATTCGTACAAGACGCGGACGCGGATGACGACGACGCTGGTGACGCCACGGAACTGACTATCGCTGCCGCGGGCACTGTCGTCACACCAGTCGCCGCCGCTACGGTTGCCATACTACAACTGTTGTTGTTGTTGTTACTATTACTATGGCTAATCGCCAATGATGGCGAGGAGGGCGATGACGACGACGGTGGCGGCGGACAGGGATGGCAGGATGTGGAAGTGCTCGGTGAGGGTGAAGATGATGGTGGTTGTGCAGCTACTGAAGCAATGCCGATGCTGCTGCTGCAACCGATGGGGGCGGATGGTGCTGTGCCGATGATGATGCTGTTGTTGTTGTTGTTATTGTTCGGTAACACGACGGCGACTTGTGCGGGACCTGTACTCATGGTCTGCGAGGAGCGTTTGCTTTTCTTGCTTTTCTTTTGCTTGCTTTGCTTGATGCTAGTAGTATTTTTCTTATTGGTTAATGAAAGGAAAATATCTGCAACCGAGAAAGAAACAAGAGAAGAGAAAAAGAAAGAAACAAAACGGATAGAGATGAGCACATTTATAAACTTGGTGAGCGAGTGAGCGGTGGACAATGGGATCTTTTATGTTTGAGTTTTCACACGTCCGTTGGGGAAGGGTGCGGTGTGAGCTTGAGTGAGTGAGGTGTTAAGCAGTGCTATTCATGTGTAATTAGTGCATAAAAAAGCTAAAAGAGTAACCTAAAGGGTGGATTAGATTGGCTTTGGCGGCATTTAGCTGATACTGGTGCTTGAATAATGCGCTAAGGAGATACATTGGTGATATTTGTCAGATTTTAGATAACAGACACAGGGTGGCCACTGAATTTAAGATTTTTTGTCTCGAGTGCTCTACATATTTTATAGGGTTTTTTTTTCATTTTCGAGTTTTTTTTTTTGAAGTTAGGCCGGAACAAATCTCAAGTTTTTCTTTTGTCAACCTTTGTCCCTTCAAAAGTTTGGAATATCAAATAAAAAAATCAGTGTATATTTATTTTTCATGCACTCCCTCGCTCGTTCCTTTATTGCCATAATTTAAGCACTGTGTAGAAGTGTAGATTCAATAATGATTAATTGTTGTTAAGTTGTTGTTAACAAACTTTTATTTGCAACCCAGTCGAGTAGAACAATTTTCGCGTTCGGAAAGCGTCGTATGACAATAACACGGAACATCACGGACTCCTGGAGCTGCTCCGATTTGGCTTCCCACTCGTCTAGGAAACAGATAAAGCGATACAAAGAACAGGATCGTTCCTTGGTTCTTATTCGCTAATTCATTTAGGTCTCTTTGGGTATCACCTTGTTCTTTTGCAGAATTTTTAAATACATTGGTACATAGACCATACATAGACCAGAACGGCATGCTAGGTCCTTGAGATCGGATTAGCCGGTTTCAGTTGTTGAAAACAGATTTCATCGAACATCATTCATAATCTTGTTTGGCAACTCACCGCCTTCAATCTGCAGGGTGTCCATTCAAATCCATTTTTTCAATTCCCGGTTATTTAATAATAAACCAAACTCCCAACATCACCTCCGCCTTAAAAAAAGGCGTTCAAAAATAACCGTTCAGAGATAATCATATAAATTTTTGAACAGAATTGCTTCACAATAACGGGTGGCAACTAAAATTTTGGAATTTCTTTCTCAAGCTGTCAAAAAAGACAAACATACTTGAAGAAGATCTGATTTATTAAAATTAAAGATACATTGTCCATTGTTGAAAAAAATTAATGAACATTTGAAAACGGTCCGTAATCGGATGTTCGGCGAAGCTTCCGTTTGATGTCGGAACAGGAGCGTTGTACGGCCTTCATGTCAACTTTGCGAATGCATCTCCTGATTCTACCAATCAACTGTTTGCAATTCGTGGCTCTCCAGTTATTTTTGTACACCAAGGAGCTCAAAACCCCGAAGAAATCTTCGATTGGGCGACACTGAGGCAGATTTGTCGGGTTGTGGTTTTTGGGTACAAATGGGATCGAATGGGTATTCAGGAACGATTGTGTTTTTTTGGCGTAATGCGATGACGCTTTATCCGGCCAAAACACGTATTGTCCATCAGCATGATGTTTTTGTAGAAACGGGATCAAAATTTTCTTCAAACATTCGTTCTGGTACACATATTGATTGATTGCCAAACCAGAGGGCTTGAACCATGGCTTAGAAATGCCTTTCTCTGAAATTTTTGCGTCCATAATTTTGGCTGGTCTTCCACTACCTTGCTTGCGAGCAGTTTTTGGGGATCTTAGGATATGGTAAACAGTCGAAGCCGCAACATTTTCGCTTTTAAAATGTTGTACCGTATACTTTTTGCCGAGATTTCTGTGCAGTTCGTAGAACTGTACAACGCGCTCGCGAAATACTTCTTGTTTCGACGGCATTTTGAGCAAAACTGAGCAAGCATAAACAAAACAGAAAATACTTGCAGAAAGAGGAGAGAGAGAGCTAACACATACACACTCTTATTTCTCTCTGAGCTCGTTTGTTGTTGAGCATAGAGGCCTCGAAAAAAATCCAAAATTTTAGTTGCCACCCGTTACGTCTACTTTATAGAAAAAAAAAACAAAATGAGATGAGATTTGCATTAACATGTTGATGATCTATATCTCAAAAATCTCATGGAATCATGAATTCGTATATAATCAAAGAGTTTCACCGAAAAAAATGAGCCTACATTTTGTTTTGGTATGTCGGAAAAAGCATATATCAAGACCTGAGAATGAGAAACCCAGTATTAAAAGTTCTTCAAATCTTCATGGAGTTAAGATCTTGTAGTTCTATAAGTCAAATAACATGTGTTCATAAATTATTTATCATTCTCGAAATTGTTCTGGCGATATTTTATAGTTTAATCGAAATCTTGTTTCTTGTCCACTCCGAATTTTTGAGCATTTTGTACATCATTTAAAATTATTAATTGTGTTTAAAAATACCATTTTTGGATTATCCAAACCATCCCGAATATCTGATCTTGAAGTTCTACAGACTCAACAAACAAGGTGTACGAAGATTCGGCTTAATGATAGAATGGTTAAACCTTCGTGAAGCACCTTAATATCATTGATTTGGTTTAATGGGTTTTCCAAAATACCTGGACACACCAAAAGAAATTCTAAAAAAATACTAGGTAAGCTATCGTGGTAGAAATAACAACAAAACCACCATTTGCACCGTGCGTGAACAGATTGTGAGTGAGAGCAATACGTGCAATAATTTTGAGGATTTTTAGATACTTTACTGTGGTAAAGACATATGAAAGCTGTAAACAGATGTGTAACCAAGAGAATATAATGGTGTATGTGATATAAAATTTATTGATTCCAAGTAACATTGCAAGTTGTGTCCAGCCCACCGTAGTCACCCAATTTTTATACTCGACCTACATTTCTTAACTTACAAACCTGCTGCAATGCTACTTAATGATACAATGCTTTTCTACAGTGATTTAACAATTTCCGAGCTAAATCCTAAATTTTTAGACGTGAGGATTCAAAAATCCTAATTGAGGTGACACTTTTCAAAGCAGATTCAAAACTGAGTGTGAACTTTTTTGAAGTTAGTTCAAACTTTCGCATAAGTCATCAACGTTTTTCTAACTAAGCCTAAACTTTTCTGTTACGTTATTCAATCCTTTTTAAAGTTGTCAAAGCATTCCTGAACTGATCCAATATATTCCGAACCCGAGCTTTAAAGAATTGGTTTCGAATTTTCTGGAATGAGGCCACATTAGCTGATTTAATCCCTTTCCTAAATGAATCCAGGGTTTCCTGCATTGATTCAACTTTTTCCGAACTGAATTCAAACTTGTCAGAACGGGTTTCACAGTTTCCTAAGTAAGCCCCAGATTTTTGCTAACTGCTTTGGCATTTGGAAAGGACAAAATCTTGTTTAGGTCATCTAGCTGTCCATAAAGCGTGAAAAGTCCAACTTTTTCTGAAGTGATTCAATACCTTCCTTAGGGAGTCCAAACTTTTCTGTTGAGTTATTGAATTATATTCAATGTTAGTCTGAGCTTTTCTGAAGTGATTTAACTAATTTTTAACGTATATCGTTTTCGTTTTTGCGGTGTAGCTACACCGGTGTTACACCACCGTACACCGAAAAAACTCAGGGGTAGCTATCGGTTGCACTCTTGTTTACAAACAAATGATGAAAAATCCATCTCAGAATACCCTTGAAACTCTTCTCACAGTTCCATTTTTATTCTATTGGAATTCTTCTTGGAATTTCATTCGAATTCTTTAGGATTCTACTGGAATTAGCGCCAGAAATCGCCCCAGAATTCCTTTACTATTCGCTGAGTCTGGAGACCTTTCTAGTTCACGGGATTTGCTTAAATAATTTATCAGAACTTAATTTAAAAACTTGTTAAAATTTGGACCAAGAATCCCCATCCAATCATTTTAGAATTTTTTTCAGAACTCTCGTTACAATGCACTTGGAGTGCGTCTCTCAACTATCTTGGAATTCTTCCAAAAATTGTTTTGGAGCTGAATTTTGCGTTTTTAATCATGTAATATCAAAAGTGAAGCTCGTCCCAGGACCGAATTTTTCACCTCCGCTTAAGCCTTAAAACAGTTTTAAGATTCAAGCGGAGGTGAACAAATCGACCCTCAGAGCACCTAAATTTACAAGAGACTTTCGTAGTGTGTAGTTTGGCATTCTTCTCTGTAATATCTTGGTATTATCCGTAGAATTCCTTTGATATTCACTTCGAATTTTCTTTGGAATTTTCATTTTATATTTCTAGATAACTCATTGAAGACTTCTGAAAATCTAGCATAGACCAATATCCTTGAAAAGTTTCCAAGGTGCAGTATTTATTTTCGAGAAAAGGAAGTTTATTTTCCCCTATTTGTCTTCGAAATTCAAAACTATTCCAAGTTTGTTTCCCGGTGTTTTAAAATTCCACGAATTTGTCCAGTTATAATTGTTTATTCTTTGACAGATATGCATATTTCGTCATAACAACAGGGTGAGGAAAAAATATCCGTGTTTTATTCTCTCAGTGTATAGTTCGATTTTGACAGATGCTGAAATGAGCACACCTCTGCCAATTGAGACCTTGATACATAATAAACAAACGCTTGTAGTTTCGTTTGCATTGGTTCACGTGTATTGCCGTAATGAAGTCCAGTCCACTACGGAGTGCGGTAATTATGCTTTATAAACAAGGAATTCGTCCGGCACGTATTGCAAAAATATTGCAAATGCCTTTGCAAACAGTTCGGGATGCTACAAAACGGTACCATGAACTCGGAAATTTGGAAGATCGTTTAGGAAGAGGCAGAAAAAGAAGTGCGAGAACCCCTCAGAACCGGAACATACTTCGTCTTAGGATTAATCGAGATTCTAAAGGGTGTCCACGATGAAATTGCCACACTATGAAATTGCTCTAACTTTTTAACCGTTGGGTAGAATTTAATGAAAATTTGGGTGGATTTAGTTCATAGTGCATTATTTACATCCTGCA